TTAAAATTTAATTAATATATAAATATGTTAATTATTTGTGTTTAATTACTTTAATATACAAAATAATAAATAAAAATTTAAATTAAATAATAAATTAAGATAATTTTTAAAAACACTCTCAAATATTAGTCCTTAAAAATCCTTAGAATATACATATTTGCATTTAATATATATAAAGTCAATTTTTATAGAAGTTGTATATAATTAATTATTTTTTATATAGTATAATAAGTATTCTCTTATGTTATTTTATACCGATAAAAATAATAATAATTTTATAAAACTAATTTTATGATTAAGTTTCTTTTTTAAAAACGATGTAAAACAATGATTACTTTTTAAATAATATTATTAGGAACAAAACTAAAAAATAGGCCATTAAAAGATTATATAACACTTATCTTAAATTTATTTTTTCTTCTAACACACACTTATTATGAAAAGGAAGTAATATTTTACAAACCAAAGTAAGAAAGGTGATATTTTTATTAGATCTTTCCTATATAAAATTAAGTATTAAAATAAATTTTAAATGTTTTATTTTTGAATAAAATACCATTCAAATATTAAAAAGTGCAAGTCATTCATGTTTTATTTTTTAAAATAATATTTTTAAATAAATATTTGAAAATTCTAATTATTTTATCTAAGTTCCTAAATTTATTTATTTAAAATTATTTTAATTTTTAAATATATGTAATAATATTATTTAAGTCTTACATTTTTCTTTATAGTTTTAGACTAATCTGATGAGTGAAATTTTATAATTTTTTGTTTTACTTTTATACTTTTAAGGATCAAATACAACGGCATACGTCGTCAAAAATGCATATCCTTTTATTTTTATTTCATAAACTAGGAAACTAAATTGAAAAAGTTTATAAAAATAGCAGCACATGTTATTCTCATGCTTATATTATATTCATAGCATTGATTAACCAATAAGAGTAATACATGTATTTAATATTTGATTAACTGCATTAGATTGAAACAAGTGATATAAAATAATTTATTTATTTTAAAAATAATATTATTAAATAAACTTATATATGGTATAAATATATTTTTAGGTCTATAGTCTTTGAAAACTGAAATCAAGAAAAGAATGTTACTATTTCTTTAACAGGTAAAATCTTTACAACTTTGATAAGTTTAAATGAAAGGGATTGATATTAATAACAATCTTGTGTGTCATTTACCCATAAAAATATTTATTTTAATTAAGTAGATAAGATTGACTTGTTAGATAAATAATTTAAATAACACTTAGTTTGTTCTATTTCAAATAATTCCTTTAAAATTGCATCAAATTCGAAAGTAATATTTAAATAATATTATACATTAAAATAAAATTATATAATGATGTATGAATAGGTCTTTAAATTATATGTAATTTTATGCATTAAATATATTTTATGAAAATTTTTAATGCAAAAGGTTGAGCGGATAAAATTAAACATCCATAAATCAATATTACATGTAAGTTTATTAGTTTAACATTTTACATCATATAATTTTGTCCTTGTATGCATAAACACACTAATTTTATCATGTTTAGAATATGATTCAATTATTAAACTATCAATAAATATTTTTATCAACTCAATTATCCAGTTTTAAAAATAAGACAAAATTTAAGTGTAATAACTAAGATACTCTTGATATAAATTTTTAATCAAAATTATAATTCTATATTAATATTTCACACAATAAAGATTAACATTAAATTAAAGTTTTGCTTACAAGTCTCAAATGATTGACAAGTCCTCATGGGATAAGACAATGTATTGATATTAATAAGTAGAAAGGTGCATGTCATTGAAGTCTTATCTTTCCCCTCTTTGTTCAGGTGTTAACCCACCCTTTCCGCAGCTGGGACAACTCTTTAGCCCAAATCCTTGACAATCAAAACATCTAAACCAGAACATGATATAATTAGTTAAGGAGATAAATCTATATTATATATGACATGGAAACACAGACAATTCTATATACACAAGAGAGCAGATAAGATCCAACAACTTACTTCCACCGTTCAAACATGTTTCCGTTCTTCTTATTCTTTCCCGTTCCCTGCCAATTTGCTATAATTAGTTAATAGAGCGTATTATTAATAGAAAATCTAAACTTAAGAATAATATTATATATATATATATATATTATAAAAATTGTATAATAATTTATAAAATATTATTTTTGTATTATTAATAATGTCTTTAACCTATCTTTCTATCATTAATAACAACTCTTTATAATAAATAAAATAATAAAAAATTAAATATAAAAATAATATTGTATGTATATTATTACTTAAATATTATCTAAAATCTAAAAAATGAAAATAAGAATAGAAAACAAAATTTGATTAAATTAATTACACGTGTGAAAGAACAATACCTTACATCCCCGACATTCAACGGCCCCTTTTCCTAGGCAAGTTTTACAATTTTTTAATAACTGCAGAATGCATGTTATTTAGTGCAAGCACACTTACAATTCAAAATTACAAAATTGAAAACAACATATGGCCTATAGTTTCATGAGCTCCGGAACAGACCGAGTTAAGTGAAATTCTTCCGGATTTTGAGGCAAAAGTAGTCACCGTGCCGTGTCTTTGGTGTATGATTGGCTGAATCGGTGGAGCCGCCAAACCCTTCCAGCAAACACAGATATAGTGCATTTCTTCTTCTTGCAACAAGTGGAAAGTGGATATAAATAACAAGTGGATTAAAATTCTCTTCTTTTTTTAACAAAATCAAATCTAAACACCTGTACGATATTTATCCACCTGGACTTTTAAAAATATTTTTTTTAAAACTCTTTAAGATTCATTACATAAAATTAAAAAGATTGAGACATTATTGATTTGTTTCTATCTATTCAACAATTTATTTATTGAAAAAATATTAATTTTTCTTAAATTTTATTTCTTTTATAAATAAACACTACAAATTTTAATTTTATCTTAGTTATCTTTAAAATTTCTTTATATTAAAACATAAGTAATATAAATTTAATTGTGTTATAATTAATCTTAAATTTCATCATTTATTCAAATAAGCAATTTGATTAAAATTTCATATTAATTAATTTTAAAATTTATCATGTACTATAAATAGTCATCTTTTATAATATATGAGAATTAAATTACTTAGAAAATATTGATCATTTAAAATATCGATCATTTATTTATTTTAAGTCACGCTCATTTATTACTTTTATTTTTATATAAACACGTTTTTACATGTTAAGTCATAGAATTTAGAATTATAAAATTAAATAAAAACTTTTTTTATTGTTTTTATTATTCTTATTTTTTCTTTTTAAATTCTCATTTTTATTATATTTATAAAATAAGTGTAATAAAAGAAGAAGAAAAGTTAATGAATAATTAACATTTAATATAAATAATTTAATTATAAATTATCAATAAATTGTTAATTTGAGTGATATTGAATTCAATCTATTTAAACAAAATCTTAAATTCGAGTTTTACATACTAAAAAAATGTGATTGGAAAGAGAGACATCATGACTAAGGGTAGCCAACTAGATTTTTTGATAAAGACTAATCATCAACAAAACTAATAAATACTTTGCACTAATAACATAGTTACAAAAAAAAACTATAAATTGATAAAAAAATTATTTGTAAAAATGTTAAATAGTAAATATTAAGTAAAGTAAATTTAAAGTTGAAGGTGTTTATTTATAAAAGAAGTAAAATTTAAGAAATAATTAGAACAAAATTCAAATTTATAGTATCTATTTATAAATAAGATTAAGTATAAGATTGATTAGAATAAAATTAAATTTTAAAATATTTATTTATATAAAAATATATATATATATATATATTTATAAGAGAAATAAAGTTTAAGATGAGTGACTTATATTTTTATTTATCTTCTTTTGGATTGTAGGATGAACACGACTACATCGCTTTCAATTCAACCTCCACCACCACCATTTGATCAAAAGTATAATTAATTTCAGTTTGGGAATTTGGGTTGAATTATGACATGATCTTCCTTCATAAGATTTTGAATAATCTTAGATTGATATTCGATGTCAATCACAACTATACATTGATTGTCATTTGTAAACAAGATCAGTTAAGTTTACAGGAGAATGGAATTTCTTTTTCTCTTTCCCTTTTCCCTTGACATAGCTTGTGTCCTTTGGGTTGTGTACTTGTGGGAAAAAGTACACATCTTCTTTAAAGTCTACTATATTTGGTTTTTGAATTAGTGGGTGTACTTATAAATAAGACTTTGATATTAAAGTTAACAAATGTTCATAGTGCATCTGTGTAATTTCAAGAATAAGCATACCTTATAAAAGTAAAATCCAAACATATAAATAGGAGAGAAAATGTTACCATTAGTTCATAAAATATTATTGAACATTTAAGATTTTTAATTGTAATGTAACAGTTGAATGTTACTTTTTGCCAGACTTAATCGTGGAGGCAAGGTTTTCGACATGCCAAGGACTACTTGGTTTAGGAGTTACAGTGGCTAGGCTTGCTGATTAGTGTTCATACATATAACTGTAATTAATCGAGGTACTAGCCTTCTAAGGTCGTGGTGACAACTGAGATATCTTTGGCAAGGTGATCCAGGACCTATCCAGTACATTAGCCTCCATGTCTTCGACTTTTAGGGAGAAAAGTTTGTTTCCATATGGATCATCCTTTTGATGGGAAGAAATTTTATTTTCAACTCTCTAGTTTGAAGTTTTGATACGCCATCATTTCATAATACATAATGTCAAGGTTGTTTTAAAGGTGTAATGATGACATTGTTAATTATTGTAGAACCTTAAGGAGACTTGAGCTCAAAGGGACACAAAAATGTGAAGGGACGCCTATATATATATATATATATATATACACACACAACTGAAAGTAGGGAAATAACACCCTAAACAAAAACTAGGTAGTTAAAAGCTACCAATCAACTAACTACAACGTTAGCCCTCCTCCGGAGTCTCGAAGCTCACCCAGTCCAGCAGAACACCTATCCCAATCTGCTCGCATACCAAGGTATGGTCATCGCAGTCCCAACCACATAGGGAAAACACGCTAGGGTAAGCTCACAACAATAAACATAAAAAAAAATAGCATCAACATATAATAAACAACAATAGAATTCTACTTTCAACTTGCAACATAAAGCAACATAACACCTTACAACAATAGATACACAATATCATCTAATAACAACAATATTTTCAACACATCACACTTTATTCAAATTGGCCGCTTGTAATCGGTATAACTCGGCCTGGCCCCTATATCGTGGTCGCTTCATACACGTGTGCCTCGACTTTGCCCACACACGGGACCAACCAAGTCCTAGAGGAGAACAACACATCATTCACTCCAAGGAACAAATTTCCAAAGAGGGTTTTTAAACAAATTGGGCTCTCAGAGTACCACAACTATCTCAATCCGCACAATGGGATGAACAACTTAAAAAACTTCTCCTCTTGTCCTAATGATCAACAACTCATCACAACACAATCACATAGTATTTATCACAATAACTCAATTATCAACTCATTCATACAACATTATATACAACTTGAAACAACACATGCAACATCAACTAATGCGTCGTCACGCATATAGAAGAGTGAGCACAACGGCTCGAAAGATTGATAGGGGCTTGAATATTAAAAGAATGAGCACGGGGGCTCGAAAGATTGATAGAGGCTTAAAAATTAAAAGACTGAGCACGGGGGCTCGAAAGATTGATAGAGGCTTAAAAATTAAAAGACTGAGCACGGGGGCTCGAAAGATTGATAGAGGCTTGAAAATTAAAAGAGTGAGCACGCGGGCTCGAAAGATTGATAGAGGCTTGAAAATTAAAAGAGTGAGCACGGGGGCTCGAAAGATTGATAGATGCTTGAAAATTAAAAGAGTGAGCACGGGGCTCGAAAGATTGATAGAGGCTTAAAAATTAAAAGA